CCTTCCTTCCATGCACACGTACATCCTATAGCAACAAGACGATCTCTAAAACAGATACACTCCGACATTACCAAAGCGCGGTCCGATGTGCCGCCAGTGTTCCGTTTGTGCCACAACGTAAAAGCAAACGTAGACGTAAACGTAACGGTGAAATTGTTATACACAAAAGTAGCGCAAGCTCATCACAAGGTCAACATGCTCAGATCGATTGAAACGACATCAATCGTCCATGTCTCGAAATTTCTCCCCCCCCTCCTGACCAGTCTAATTACACCCTGTCTCTTATACACATCTAGATGTGTATAAGAGACAGGCCCCAAGGAGTGTCGAACGAGCCCCATTGTCTGAAGTGCTTTTCGTGGAGGCCCCATGTCCCTGAGGGGCAGGCTCTGGGGTACATTGTTTAAAGTGCTTTTCGTGGAGGCCCCACCCAAGTCCCGGAGAGGCATGCTGCTCTGACACAACGCCTTCAGATTCGTGCATTGTGGGGGTCGGAAGATGCAATGTAGAAAGTGCTTTTCGTGGAGGCCCGCCCCACCCAAGTCCCTGAGAGGCGGGCTTGGGAAAGGCTCTATACTGCGATGGCGTGGAGGGTGGATTCTCCGGCCGGTGGGCCCAACAAAATGGACAAACGTCTTTGTTCTTTTTTTCTTTTTCCCTTGGCAGTTTCCAATTTGCATTGTTTTTTTCTTTTTCTTTTTTTCCCCTTATCTGTATCGTGCGTCAGGCATGAGTAAGCCCGCGCTGCATAGGCAATCGATGGAGAAATCATCGCGTCCATTTGTCCATTTTGTTGGGCCCGACAAGCCTTTCCCGAACCCCGGAAGTTGCAGCGCATTCAAAGATTTAATACATACGTTTCCAGCCCTCAGCCGAGATAAGGGCGAGGTACTGGTGGGCTTTAAGGCTATACCCTGTCTGCAATCACGTCCAGAGCTCCGTCAAGAAAGTCCTACGGTCTTCCCCCTAGGGTGGCTCCGTGGAAACATTCGGTTCCAGACTGGCCTGGGATCATAACTCGTGATTTATAACAACCAACTGAGGGTGCAAAAGGGGGGGGGGGGATGGGCCGGAGGGAGGTCTTCCCCGGCAGGAATCGGCCTTGCGGTGAACTGGTGCAGGTTACGGAATCGATAACCTTGCCCTCTCAGCATGAACAATAACACAACCCCTAATACGACAATAATAGTAGGTTACGCGAGGAACACGGTGCCCGTGTACGGTCAGACGGGCTTCCTCAGGTAAGACCTTGGTCAGGGTAGAACCAGTAGACACTGCCTAGGGAAGGCCCTAAGGAATATTCGCTGTCTGACCAACCTGGGGGGCTGGTGCTCATAGGAAAAAGAAAACAAAGAACGGTCACGCTTGGCGACCGAAGTGCCCGTGCGATTGACTTACCGTGAGGGCACGGGTGCGCAGCCCGTAGTTCGTTTGTTTATGTGGTTCGGGAAGGGTAAGGTAGTGATTATGCTGTATGTATGTTTTGTCAAGTTCACTATACACAACTCGAAGAGACTGTGTGTGGGGTCCCGGTTGGTGCTTTATTCATGATGTTCATGGGACGCTAGACCCAGTTTCCAGCAGGTGGCGCTCCCATAATAGACAGGAGAATCTGTGTGTGTGTGTGTGTGTGTGTGTGAGAGAGAGAGAGAGAGAGAGAGGGAGAGAGAGCTGCAGCATTGGAGCATGTCAGTAGCGGGGAGCACAAGGGCAGGCGCTGACCTCCAAAAAAAAAGTAATTGTATTGGAATACAAGAGTTTTTTCTTTTGGAAATCTGAATAGAAATGGTACATGTTGTGTTCAAATACAAGGTGTACGTTTTCTACTCGAGAAAATCTGCTATTCGAGAAGAGTGTACCCGCACCGTTTCAATTTTTGGAAAAGGCTTAAGGACCGCGGCCTCCTACGGGGAGCTACCGGTCCTTCGCGTTCCTGGCCCTTGAAAGCCCCAAAACCTCAAAATGCCCACCCTCCTGACGACCACCGACGTTGAAATCTGAGTGACGTTGAACGTTGAAAATCTTAGGGGAGGAAAACGCAACCCTGACGGGCTGCGAACAAGGCTCGCTCAATAGCGCTTCAACTAGGGGTGGAAGAGGTTTGCCCTGGCCTACCTTCTTCCCGCGAATAAAACGTATGGTCATTATTGCTGTATTTGAGGCATCTTTCAGTCTAGATACAGCTATAATGACCGTACGTTCTATTCAGGGGAAGACGGTAGTGCTGGTGTCTGCAACCGCTGTCTGGTATACACCAGAGGGGCAAACAAGTGCCCCTGTAGATGAGCAAGCAGAGGTTACGCTAAGGAAGCAGGAAGATGAGGTAGTAGGTAGGGGTGGGTCCTGTGAGCAACTGCCAAAACAAAAAAAAAAAAAGAAAAAAAAAAGTACTGTCATTACGTCTGTATTCGGCCCATGCGTGACTCCAGAAGATGCAGCGTACTGTCATTATGTCTGTATTTGGCCCAACTCTCCAGATGCAGCGAAACTCGTAGTACGTTCTCTATTCGGACGAAGACGGTACAACTGCGAGTATGCCCTAAGCAGGGCATCACCGCAGACTGCTATCGATACTTCAACAGAAATCTGTGGAGATCTTCCTGCGCAAACGTGCCTGCTGCTGCCTGACCCTTCCTAGTGCCTACATATGGTCCAACCGGTCTATTTCTGTCACTTGCCAACCAAACAGCGCTCGCCTGTCCTCTCCTCCGGAATACAATGCACCGTAATCATGAAACATCAACAGGCTTTCTTCCAGGTCCGGCCGGCCCAACACGGTCCTGATCAGGGTGTGGTGTATGGTGCCCGTGCAGCGCATTCAAGCAGTGATATGGTCGCCTTGGCCATCCCAGAAAAGAAAAAAAAAACAAAAAAAACAAAAAAAAAAACAAAAAAAAAACACAGGGAGAAACAATCCTGGTGGAGACCAAGCAGCGATGTCGATCATCGCCAGCAGTGCAGCAATGACCCCATATCGTACCATCCACTCCTTGATTGACTGTTTTTATACTTATCCACCAAAAAAAGACCAACTAATCAACAACCCGCCAACCAATCAAGCATCAATTGTTTTACCAGCCAAGCAACTGTAACACGACATCGCACTCGACAGACCAATCAACCGACCAATCAAGCAAGCAATCAAGCAAGCAATCAAGCAAGCAATCAAGCAATGACCGAAGCAACCGACAAGGCAACTAACCCACACCAAACAACAACCAATCAACCAATCAACCAATCAATCAATCAACAAATCAACCAACCAATAAACCAATCAATCAATCACGCAAGCAATCAAGCAAGCAGTCAATCAATCGAGCAACTAACTACAGACAACAGCCAACCAACCAACCAACCAACCAACCAACCAACCAACCAATCAATCAGTCAATCAATCAACCAACCAAACAACCAACCAATCAATCAGTCGATCAATCAACCAACCAACCAACCAACCAACCAACCAATCAAGCAACTAACCAACCCACCAAGAACCCAACTCACCAACCAACCAACCAACCAATTGATCAATCAATCGATCAACCAATCAACAATCCATCAAGCAACCAAGCAACCAATCAAGCAACTAACCAACCCAACTAGAACAGCCCAACCAATCAACCAACCCGCCAACCAACCAACCAACCAACCAACCAATCAACCAATCAACCAATCAATCCACTCGATCGGTCAAGCAAGCAAGCAGCCAACCAATTAAGCAACTA